TAACATTTGCACTAAACTTATCAAAACTTAACACTTGCACTGAACCAACCAAAATAGTATGACTATTGCGAACTTTTTTTAACTGAAATTTGAGCATTTTAGGGAGAATTTCAGCTATATAAAATTTTTTTTTAATGATATGATAATAATAATACAAGGTTATAGCTATATATTTTATATATATATATATATATATATATATATATATATATATATATATATATATATATATATATATATATATATATATATATATATATATATATATATATATATATATATATATATATATATATATATATATATATATATATATATATAAGGAATGCAGTTGCATAATAATAGCCTTTGAATTGATTGTTTTAAAAATAATCATTGTCTATCTTGTTTTTGTTTCTGTATTTACTGTTTGTGAACGTAGTTTATTCCAATTGTTTACGATTCTGTTGGTAAAAAAAGTGTACCTTGGTAAACATGATTTAATAAGCTGCTTAGTGATGGAATGCTGATTTCTTACAACATATAAATATATAATATTTCTTATAATATATAAACTGCCTAATAACTTTTTTGATAGTCTTCATTTAAGGATATGTACCCAGAATGGTTAAAAACATAAAGTTTAAAAAAAATCTACCAAACTCTAAAAGCAATAGTGTGTCCCTTATAATAAAAATTGTTAGCACTGCGTCAAAGAACTTTTTAGTTTTTATTTGCTATTGATTTCTCGATAATGATATAACTAAATTTTTAAATTATATGAAACATATTTTTATAAAAATATATAGAGAGAATAAAAAAACTTATTTATATATTAAGTACTTGTTATCGACATTGAATTGAGAAGACGTCCATTAAGATTGTAACCTTGGAAACATATATAAATATATAAAGTGAGAGATTGGAAAGCTTTCAATTTATATATTTATACAATCAAAAAAAAGAAAAAAAATTAAAGTATCTAAATGATCCATAGGTATGATGAGAGCTTTCGGAATTAAAAAAAAATCTAAATTTGCCATGGATCACAAATGAAATAAGAGAAAATCCTCAAAACAAAAAACTTTCCGTAAAATATCTAGAAAATAGAACTGGATCCAACTTATCTATTTACAAACAATAGAAAAATCTATTTGAAAAAATTAAAAGCAAATCTAAAAATTCTTATTATTCCAGGCAAGTACAAATATTTTTATATGAAAAAAATGATATCTCTAATGAATTCAACATCTACTTTGCCAACATTTTGCTGATTTTGCATTTAGAATTCAATGCGCGAAAAACCAATTTGAAAGTTACTTAACGACCAATCGCGCCCTTTAAACTTCAGAGAATTAAAACAAGACGAACTCGAAATAGCTATCAAATCTCTCAAAAGAACAAAATCCCCAGATATTATTGAACAATTCTTAATCCTTTCCGTATTTTCAAAACTTCCAGAAAAAATAGTACTCTATGTAATAGAGTATATAAATAATGAAACTCTAACAAAATTATAAATATAAGTCAACACGATTTCCAAAAGCAACACACAGCAGAGCAATCTTTGATCTTACCAACAGGATTAACAAATTGTTTAACAATAAAAAAATTGCATAAGGGATCTTTATTGACTTGTCAAAGGCATTTTACATCGTCGATCACGAAAGTTTACTTTAAAAAAAATGCAAAAGTATTGTAAACAAAACCAAGCCCTAAAAAGGTTCAAAAAAAATAGTTATAAATAACAAATCAAATTTAATAAAAACTGGATGTAGTGTGCCCCAAGGTTTCGTATTGGTTCCCTTTTTGTTTTAAATTTACATTTACAACCTTCCAAATGCCTCAAACAACTTTAAAGTTATAATGTTTACAGATGATATTGTTTTAAAATGATAATGTTTACAGATGAACTTATTCTGTTACTCAACAACAATCGAAAACTTATTTAAAAGAAAAAATATTCAGCTAAAATAATACATATGACAAACAAATTATCACTAAATATAGAAAAAATTAAAGTCATACTGTTTCACTCCAAAATGCGAACAAAAAAGACATCTCTAGTTCTTCCAACAATAGTTATAGAAAACAAAACTATCGAAAGAACTCAGAATAGAAAATTTTGAGGGGTTTTGATTAATGAAAATATCTCTTGGAAAACCAAGATTATTTGCGTGTTTAACGCAAATATCTAAAAATATAGATTTACTCTATAAAGCAAGACCATTGTTGCCACAAAATCGTCTAAAACTATTTACTTTTCTTTTATTCAAAGCAACCATATGTATGCAATATAGCATAGGGCAGAACCCACAAATCAAAGCTAAAACCATTATATTTACCCCAAAAACATGTCTCAAGACTTGTGTACAACAAAGATAAATTTACTCATGCTTAGTTCTTGTTTAAACAAATGAAAGTACTATATATCTTTCAAATGAATATTTATCAAAATTTACTGTTTATGTCTAAATTTACTGTTTATGTTTAAACTAGACCTGGAGCTAAAGCAATTTATGATGTACTTTTGAAAAAATCTGAACAAATATAATAAAAAAGCGTCAAGAAAATTTCAACTACCATTTGAAACTCTCAAGATTCTAGATTATGGTATCGAGGTTGAATTGGTATCGAGGTTAATTTGGTATCGAGGTTGATTTGGTATCGAGGTTGATTTGGTATCGAGGTCCCTATTTGAAAAATAAAGTACTGTCTAAGAACGAACTACTGATAAATTTGATTAATGAAAACTATTTGAAAAAAAAAAAAAGTTAGCTATTAATTTAAATAACTGTAAAGAATATTTTAATACTAAATTCATTCATAACAAAAATCTAAAACAAAACCAAAATTTAATCTATCATAAAAAAAGAGTAGAAATACAATAATTTTTATTAAAAACTTTTTTGAATGATATTTACATTAATAACGTTATGTGTACTTCACGTCTAGTATAAAAATAATCAATGACACGACTGATTTCAGTCTTTTGCGAGCTCTCTACGATTACGTATAAGCAATTCTAATATTTTTTTCTCTTTTCTTTCTTTTTTAAAGAAAGTATTATTTTTGAAACAGTTCAATAAAGTAATACTTATTGAAACATATCACAAGATGCAAATATTTACAAGATATAGTTAAACATTTTATTTGTAATAATATAGAGATATAATTATCGGAGCTTTATGCGTTTATATTATATATTGTTGTATTATCTTATTATATTTATTTCATTTTACATCGAAGTTGTATAGAACTGTTTCTTGGATATTTATTTTGTATATTTTAGACTCTATGCTATTTATTTTTTATATATCTCTACCATCAATCAGGGTTGCCATCTGGTGTTTTTTGAAGCCAAATTTCTCAAATCTGGTTTGTTTTTTTATCGTTTGGCTTAGAATTTTAGTTTTGGTTTATTTTAGAAAATCTGGTTTAAATATGGTTTATTTTACAAGTCTTTGTTTTTTTCTTGTTTTTTTCTTGTTTTTTTCTGGTTTATTTTTTAAAATCTGGTTTAATTTTGGTTTATTTATTAATAAATTGATTTAATCAAGTTTTGTTTCATAAAAAAAAAATAATTTAGGGAAAGAAAGATTTCCATTTTTTCATTTTAGAGAAGAACAATCAAATTTAAAATAAATAAAAGAAATGCGTGCATTAAAATCTTAAAGTATTAAAATATTTTAAGTTGTCACGGCGATTTTTTTTGCCTTAAAAATTCCCATAGCTTTATTTGGGAAACGTTAAATCCAATCCGTCAAAGTGCTGTTTGAACAATTTTTAAAAATTCTTGACCCGATTACGGCATTTACAATGTGATATAAATGTTATCAAACAAATATTAAATAAAAATATTATTGATAATAACATGATTAATAATAAATATTAAATACAAATGTTATTGAATGTTATTAAAAATCTCAGAGTTCTTTTATTTTAAAGTACAACTATAATTCCGTAGGAGATCCCATCGGTCAGTAAAATGTAATTTGCACTTTGAAGGATTGGATTTAGTGTTTTAGCTTAATTTCGAGAATTATATATATAAAAAATTATATATATAATATATATATATAAATTTGGTCCAAACCGTCCACAATTTTTTTAATTTTATGACAAGTTGCAAAAAATTACCATCTTTATCATTGAATTAGGGTTGTAGATATTTATTTAATTTATAACACATACAATACAGCTAAGTACTAATATTTTAATTTATTTATGTAATATTTCAGTCTGAATAGTTCAGACCGTCATCAGACGTAAAATTAAATACAATAAATATGAAATATTACATAAATAAATTAAAATATTAGTACTTAGCTGTATTGTATGTGTTATAAATTAAATAAATAAATTATCAAGTACTACAAGAAATGTCATTAAAACAATTGGTTGTAGATATATATTTATGTATTTTTGTATATTATGTATTTTAAGTGTAAATATATATCGTGTGGTTTTTTATAAAATCTGCTCTTTAAAAGCTATATAGATATTCAAATATTCATAAATTTTTTTGAGTAACTAGAATAATAATATACTCAGACATCAGCAAAAACTTTTTTTCTTGCTACCTCCAAAATTTCTTGAAAAAAAGCACCTCCAGGCACCCTACTAACTCACCCAAAATAGGTACCTATTTTTGGTTTAAGTTCCGCTATACACACGGGTAGTTAGGGGAGGCCGTATCATGATAAACATTTGAACATTAATAATGTTTAAATGTACATTATGATATAAAATAATCTTGAATAATATATATAAAGTATACAAAATATTAAAAATGTAAAAAAAGTTCAAAATTTCAATAAAAAATTAAATTTTATTTAAAAAAACCTAGATTTTATACATTTCAGACTAAAACGTAGAAAGTTTTACAATTATGATGACGTTAGCTAACTTTTTCAAATACAGAACTTAATACCATTTGAAGCAAATTAAAAGTGATGGCATAGATCATTAAAAAAAAAACATTTCAAAATACATTTTTTATTAGAAAATAAGTAACTAATTTAACCATAAAAATAGATGTAAAACTGTTAGCTGTGTCACACCCAATGTAATACTGTTGTTTTACACTAAATCTAATACTGCTGTGTCTTACCAAATTTCAACCTTTAATAAAACATAATAAATTAAATTTAAAAAAACGTATAACAAATCTAGTTTTTTGAAAAACTTTCATTTAGTTTTAGACCAGTATTTATAAGTGTATTTTTACTTTCTAAGATTTTCTATGATAATTATATAAAATGCATTACAGTTTACGGATAATATAAAACTATTACAGTTTTTTTTCATTTTTAGACCAGAACTAAAAAAAACTGTAAAAAAAGACTGTCGGAACTTAATAATGAGAAATACCTTTTAAAGGATAGAAAGTGCAAAAGAAAGCTAAATTAGAACTTTTGATGAAATTAAACTAACAAAAGAATATGAGTTTAATTTGAAAAAAAAAATACAGATAAAAAAAAAAATTGCTTTAAAAAGAAATAGGTATAAATGAAAAAAGTAATGTTTTATCTATAATTTTTTTTTTTATTGGAAAAACTTATGCCATATGGTAAAAACCTGCAATTTCTCTTTGACTTTTATTTGTTGTTCACTATCCAATCTATGATTCAATTCCGTTCTTTACATATTTATTATTTTTCACTGGGTTCGATAACATTTTTTCTTTACACTTTCAAAGTTACTAACTAGATTTCTGCGGGTATAAAAGGTCTTATTTTTAGATAAAAATTTGTATGAAGATAGAATATTGATCTTAGTGATTAGTTATTCAGTAGTAAATTAAAACAAGTTTTGTTAAAAAAACAAATATATAAAGTCTTTGGGAAAAGTTTGTCAATTATGAAAAAAGCCTTTAAAATTGGCTGGCCATCAATGTAAAGGCAAACAAAGACATACAATTTTTAAAACAGCCAGATGTATACCCAGGAAATATACTGCTTATTACGGAAAATCAGATCAAAGTTTGTTGGTCAAAGCTTACTAGTTAACTTACTTAACTAAGAAAACAAAAATAAAGTCTCTTTGAAAATTTATTAATTGGTTTTGTGTAACTAGTTAATTCTGAAAATGTTTTTCAAATATGGAACCCATATTTTATTAAAATTATTAAATTTAATCGAAAAAAATCAACAAAAAGCTATAAAATTGGCTACAAAAAAAAGGAGCTAGTTATGAGCAAAAATTACCAAATTTATCTATTAGTTTAGAAAAGGGCACTAAAAACTCACACAAGAGGAATAGCTCTTGTGTGAGTTGTTAGCTCAATACCTTGCTGCTAATTGCTTGCAATATTTATTAGCTCAATACCTTGCTGTTTTTCATATAATACACAACAGAACTTTTTTGTTATAACAAGACGATCAAAATCCGTATTAATTTTCAGAGTGCAAGTTGTTAAATTCTAGATGAGATATTAGAAATTCAGTAAATAAAGATGCAAAAACCTTGCTAATAATAGACTGATTGGACAGAGTTACAGAGGTGAGATTGTTCTCCGGAAATTTCAAAAATTGGAACCACTGATGCTATTTTCTGTCAGGCAGAAAAACAAGGTTCATTAAAGAACTTAATAAAGAGATGAGAAAATTTTGACGAGAGTTTTAGAGAACACTTTTCGAGATTACGTAGGAATAACCACAGTGACTGAGAGATAAATGTTTATTTCTAGAATGACCACAACTTAATATAACTTGATAAAAATTTGTGAAAATGTAGCTTTTGGCTACACCAAACTCTGAATAGAATTTTAGTCTGATTGTTTAACGGGTTAGAGATTTATGGCAGTTTTAGTTAAAACTTTGTTAGTTTTTGCTAAATATACCTTAAAACGTTACCAATGACTGTGAGATTGTGATGATGATTGTGATGTCAATTTTTTTTAAATAATGGTTATATGAGTGTTCTACTATGTAATTCCATCAATTTTTATTATAGTTATTTTACTAGTACATGTACCATTTTCATTTTTAGACCAAAATTCAGACCATTTTCATTTTATTTTTTTCAATTTCATTTTTTAGACCAAAATATAATTTGCTATTCAAAGCGTGGTTTAACTTGATTTATGCTTAGTGTTAAAAGCACAGTATTTTTTTAAGGTATACTTGACATAAAAAATTTAGATTAGTAAGATAACTGACCACTATAAGTTTGGAGGTCCACTCCGAGGAAAATTAATCTTTACAAATTAGAGTTGTTTTGAAACAAGTTTTGCTCAACGGTTACTTAGCAGACCTTTAGTGGAAGCCACCAAAAGTAGCAAGCCAATAATTAGTCACATGCCAGAAAATTATCGGCTTGCCATTTATAGCGGCCATTTATAGCGCCCACTAAGTAAGCGATAAGCAAAACTCAAACAAAACGCTAAAAAAAAGTCTGCATGGGTCCACTGCAAATTCACTAAAACAATGTTTGCTGGGTAGTCTTTTCAGCAATCTAACGGTGTTGTTGTTATTGCAAAGCTGTTTGGCAATGTCATAAGAAAGGCTGCAATTTGAAAAAATATTGGGCCTGACAATGTTATGATTTTGGAAATCATTTCACCGATGGAATCTCCTATTTGGAGTTGTCATGAGGGCCAGTTCAAGGAAAATGAATGTAGGAAACTTCTGAAAAATCTTGTTGTGCTGCAGAAACTTGTTGATACAAATGGTTTCCAACATCGTTCACATAGTTGAAGCATTTTGTCAACTATATATAAGTAACACCAATTTTGAAAGGTGCTACTCAACAACATTTATTTCAAGCATAACACCCAAAGTACACTTTTTCTTTTACTAAACCAGAGATTTCATCAGTCACAAAAGAATAAACCTTAAGGCTCTATAGTGAGCAAACTGTCGAAACTACAAATTAAGATTTGTTTCAACATTGGCCAATATTATATCAATAATATTGACCACTTTTGATATAATAATAATATCAATGTTTTATAATAATAATATCAATGTTGGTTAATCTTAATCCTATTAATGATATTAAAAACTATAAACTTTTACATTTAAAAAAGTATTGAAAAGTATTTGGACTAAAAGGGTATATTAAGCTATTATTATCAAAAAATTTTGGTGAAGAAAGTTAAAGAACATGTTATGTAATATATATTTTATGTTAATACAGTGTAAAAAATATGGTTTAAACATTTAATTTTCACTTAATTTTGAAATTAATCTTAAACTAAATACAAGATTCAATTAAAAATTTGTTTACAAAGATGTATTTTTTTTGTTTATTTTACCAACTGGTAGTCCTTTGACTTGGTTTTCCACTATTTTTAGCATTTTTCTGCATTTTGGCGAAAGTTTATACATTAGAAAATTTTAATACATTCCCGCTATGCATAAGCCAATTCAAACCACACTTTACATAGCAAATTTTTTTGATCTATAAAATATATTATTATAATTAACATTTTATATAAATTCTATATTATTAACAATTTATATAAATTCTATATTATTTTCATCTATAAAATGAAAATGGTTAAAAATATTTTTAAAATAGTGACAAATTATAACAGTAATTTATAACGTTTTGAAGTATTACTATTATAGTGCGTCAATAAAACTAATGTAAGTCAAAATTTCATTCAATTTAAAAATTGAAAATTATTTTTTTTGCGGGCAAAATTGAAAGATTTCAAAATTTGTACCACAGTTAACCTTGATGTGTACGCTTTCTTTCATATAAGTGAGGTTCTTGAATTAGCTCGGTTGGAATTATCAGGATCCGTGATAACCGTGCCTAAAGCACTAACATCAGCAACATTTATGCGCAACATGGCACCGTTAATACTTTGATATTTTACAGCTGGAAACGGGACCAATCTGTAAAGAACCATTAAACTACATTTTAGAGTTGTACTCTTATCAAGAGATAACATGAAAGGTTCTAACAAAAGCTACTAACAAAGAGGTACAAGCAAAAACTTATGAAAAGAATCAAGAAGATCGAGCATTTTTCCGCCAAGATAGGAAACACTGCAAAACAGGTTCACATCTACGCAGGCTTATTATATGAAAAAGGTGCTTTAGTTAAAAATGCTAAACTGTTTTTGGAAGTAGCTGATAGGCTTTGTTACAGCGATGTAATTATACGTAGAAGATAATGACTGTACATTCATACATCCACACAACTCTACATCTTTAACCACAACTAATAATAATTAAAAATTAGCTTGTCATAATCATCACCATAAATGTCTTTTTATTTTTTTATTTTTTGTCTACTTGTCAATTTCCTTCTGTGACAAAAAGAATGCTTTTTCAACCAAGACTGTTTAGATGTAATCGAAAAATTTTTTTTTGATTTTAAACTTCTTTCGATTGATTTCAATAAAAACTTTTATTTACTTTTTAATAAAACATAAAAAAAAAAAGAAACATTTAAACACTTTGTTAAATATTGCGCAAACAAAATTTGACTTACTCTGGTACCAACAGGAGTTAATGTAGTACTATTAATTGCATATTTTATCTTCTCTGTAACAGAAACAGTATTGTTAGGAAGAGACATTAATTTTTGAAAATTATTTTATAGCTATGCAGTAGTTGTTCAATAGAAATACTATTTAAACTATTTAATAACATTTGCTTTTTAAATTTTTAAGTTAAACAAAAACCGCTGAGATAAAAAAGCAACTATTTTTTCCATAAAAGTGGCATAACAAAATCATTTTTCTTGAGGTTTTAATTTTCAATAACGGAAACCCGTTTTAAAATTTTTACTTGTTAAATTAATTTAAACGGTTTTTTAAGAATCAAATTTTGTTTTGAAAAAACAAAAACAGTCATTAAACAATATTTAAAAATTTATAGTTGTTGCACTGAATACTTCGATAAGGCCCGGGTATTCAAGCGGTTGGTAATCCCAGCCTGCACAATTCAGAAAAAGTTACGCTTGATTTCTGTTGCGTGTTTAAAACAAAAAGAATAACATGTGCTAAGAAATGGTTTTCGCTCCGCGAAATAAACTGTTACTATTAAATAAATACCAGCTAAAATATTAATGGTTTCACCATAACGAATACGTTGTATTATATTAAAGTAAATTTCCGTAAAGAATGTGAAACCAGTGGTAAAAGCACGCGACTTTTAAATTTAACTTTGAAACCTCAAAAAAAAAACGAGTTTAACTCTAGTAAAACTGCCTGAGAAATTAACGTGCTTTTGGTTTACGTCTGGATTAGCATACTAGTCTAATTCTGTAAAATAGTAAATTTACAAAATAATTTTTCGGAAAAAAAGTCCCAAGGAAGTGGGTCTACTAATCCCATGCCTCCCCCCCCCCTTCCTCCTAAAACCCGCCTCTGCCCCGGTTAATATATTTCGAAACAAATTAACCTCAGGAGTTGAATTAATTTAAAATACGACTATTTCTGCGATGGAAAAGAGAAATTTCTTGTTTAAAAATTTCTTTTTTCTAAAAACTTTTTTTTTTATTTGTAGTTTAAACACCTTAAAATTATTGTTAAAATAAATTTTGAGTAGAAAATATTTGAACCGAGTAGATAAATTTGATGAATGTTTACAGCTGTTTTTTCCTTATATTATTCGAAAATGTGAGTAAAATTTGAGGGCAAGTTATTGCAATATTTTAAACAAAACATATCTTTTTTTTGTTTCGAAAGAATTTTCGAGGTGACTTAAGTAAAAAAACTTTTGGACTTTAAAAATAATTTAAGTGCTTTCTTGTCACATACACAACATCTGCAAAAACTAGGTTGCATCGCTGAACTTAAAGATAAAAAGTTTAATTATCACAATGAAATTATGTTTTAGGGTGAGGTTTTTTAAGAAATTCCATATTTTAATGTGAACTTTTCTTCACTATTCAAAAGAAAAAAAATGCTTAAAAAGCATTATATTAACTTAAAATAACAGTTTAAAAGCTATTGCATCACTGAACCCATCAAACGAATAATTAGCGTTTTATAAAACAGCGTGTTAAGGAAGTCAAAATATTATCCAAATGTTTAGATTTTGTTGTGGGCTTTAGTCGAATAAATTTTGCATTTGAGTATTGTGAAGGGCTATTAGAAAATATTTGTAAATTATTGGATATATGTTGGCATTTTCTTGTAAAGTTGTAAATTTTTAAGAAATAAAATCAAAATTAGAAGTAAGAAAAACGCTATGCAGAATACCAAGCTAACTATGTTTCTCAGAATGCTGATAAAAAGAAAGAAATATCAAGAGTAAGATTTATTTATTTGTTTTGAATTTTCATGCTATATTTTTCTATACAATATTCTTATATTTGAAGATTTTGTTAGCTTAGCATAGGAACAGCGACAAATAGTTATTAAGACTAATCCAAAGTAGCGTCCGTTATTGACCAACATTTTTGCGCTGAGTTGGCGGTGGCAGGATTTGAACTTGTATCTTACAACTGTCTGGGTTAAAACTTTTTGTTCGACGCTCTAACCAACCGAGCTATAGAGCCATTAAAATAATAGATATCAAGGAAATTTGAAAGCCGATTCTAATAAAAAAGAAGCTTATATTGCTAAAGCAAAATTAAGAATTGTAAAAAGTTTATTTTAAAAATTAAGAATTGTAAAAAGTCGCCTTACATAACATCCAGATCACTTGTCCATTAATTTCAATTTACTTAATCAATACTTATCGAAATCCATCGAGGCTCTTTGTGGCAGGGGGTAAAGAAATATCATCCCAAGAAGGCACAACTCAAGGTGATCCCCTTGCTATGCCATGGTACTCTTGCAACACCACGATTATTATAGAACACTTACTTGTAAATTACCCACAAGTTAAGCAGGTGTGGTTAGCAGACGATGCTGCAGCTAGTGGAAGCATTGCAAACTTACATAGCTGGTATCAACACCTTATTGATGAAGGATGTAAACATGGCTACTATGTAAACCAATCTAAATGCTGGTTAATTGTAAAATCCCCTTCGTTAGCAGAGAATGCAGGCATAGTATTTGGTAAATCGGTCAACATAACTACAGAGGGTCAACGACATTTGGGTTCAGTAATAGGTTCGCAAAATTTTAAGAACAAATATTGCACTGAGAAAGTAGCAAAATGGTTAACCGAGTTAAAACAACTTTGTAAAGTAGCAGAGACGCAACCACAGGCCGCTTTTATTGGGTTTACAAAAGGATTTCGTTCAAAATTTACATATTTCCTAAGAACTATTCCAAAATTTGAACAATATCTAGCGCCCGTAGACGAAATACTTAGTCATTTGTTGTTGCCAACTCTTTTTGGAAAAGATACGCCCTTTGAGGATCACATTAGAAAACTTTTACATTAACTCCTCGAGATGGAGAATTAGGTATACCTATACTAGTTGAAGAAGCGCCTCACCAGTTTTTATCATCTGTTAAATTAACTAAAAATCTTGTACAGCAAATTATAGATCAAGATACAATTTTAAAAACAAAAAACTCTTCCGAGAATATTCTAGAAGATCTTGAAAAAATATTAACTACTGACAGACTTAAGCATCGCAAAGAGAAAATAATTGCAGTTGATTCAATGTAACCAGATTCAATGTTAAGAAACATACAGCAAACAAGAAGCGAATGTGCTAGCACCTGGTTAAACGCCTTACCACTAGAAAACCAAGGTTTTGTTTTAAATAAAGAAGAATTTCGAGATGCACTTTGCTTACGTTATAATTTTGACTTGAAAAATATCCCTCGTATTTGTGAATGCGGAGAACCTTTCAATGTAACTCATGCATTGTCGTGTAAGAAAGGAGGCTTCATTTCAAGTCGTCATGATAACATAAGAAATTTGTTCACCACATTGCTTAAAAGAGTGTGCATAAATGTTCAATCCGAACCACACCTCATACCCCTTGATAATGAGAATTTTTATTTCTATACAGCAAATAAAAGTAACCAAGCTCGTTTAGATATTAAAGCAAATGGTTTTTGGCGAAATGGACAGACATCATTTTTTGACGTAAGAGTTACGCATGTCAATTCCATGAACAGCAAAAATCTAGATATAGCTGCTATATTCAGAAAACATGAAAAGGAAAAAAAAAGAGAGTATGGCGAACGAGTTCGTGAAGTCGAACATGGCAGCTTGACACCACTAGTGTTTGGTACAAATGGAGGTATGGGTAAAGAATGTCATCGGTTTTTTAGAAGGCTAGCGGAGAAACTAGCGGAAAAACAAAATAAAAAATACTCAGTTGTTATGACATGGTTAAGAACAAAGTTATCTTTTGAGATACTTCGCTCAACTATCCTTTGTTTAAGAGGCTCAAGAACACCCTGGACTAAAAAAAACGATTTTGAAATTGGTGTTGATTTTAAGATGGATGCTCTAGAAGCAAGAATCTGAACTCTTATAAATTTATATTATAGCATTTTGTTTTACTTGTATATTTGTTAAATTGTAAAAAGTGGCGCTCTAAAAAGAAAACTTTTAGATCAATCTCAAAGACTAAGCTCGTCTTTTAAAAATGTTTGACAAAGAGGAAAAGTATTAAAAAAAAGTATTGAAAAAAGTTTTTAAAGCAGTACCGAATTCAAAGAAAAAACAAGCTGAAATTCTTTTTATTTTTTCAAATCCCTATCGGCACATCTAGTTTTTTTTTCGGAAATAAAACCTAGTGTAACGAGGGGCAAAATGAGACACTTAAGCGCTAATATATCTAATACCCGTCTAACAACTTTTGAAAAAATAAATTGATATTTTTCAATTCTTCTACGATCCTACTTGAAGCCTAAAAAGTAGGAGTTGCAAAACTGCAGTAGTTTGGTCACCAAAGATCATTTATTGACAGCACCTATCCTGTCTCATTTTGCCCCGCATACCGGGGCAAAATGAGACAGATTTTTTTTTTAATAGTTTAAATAAATAAAGTTAAAAAAAAACAGATCTTTAAGAGGATTAGCAAGAAATACATTTTATAATATATTACAGCTATAATCAAACTGTCACTAGTCACATAAATCACATATTGTTTGACGAGTATTTTGAAACGAACAACAGTCCGAATGAGCCCAGGTTGTGCATTTAGAAAATTGACTCCACTTATATATATATATATATATATATATATATATATATATATATATATATATATATATATATATATATATATATATATATATATATATATATATATCCATTACAAGAACTAATAAAACCATACATGCATATATTAAACTTATGTATTTAAAGCACGCATAACATTCATTGTATTTTGTTTATAGGTACTGCAATAACCTATATGTTATAATCTACTCACTATATATTTTATATACTACTTACTTTATTACATTACAATACAATAAGATTATAAAATACAAACACAGTAATTATAAACATCAGGCAACTATTTGCTTTAATTTGATTAAATATTTATTATATTTAAATACAAGTTAACAAAATATAAAACGTAATTCTATATTGGATAACAACTAAACATTTCAATTAACAAAATAAAAAGTAAGTAAATACAGTATAATAAATTTAAATCTACAGCATGTAAATATTAATATTTGCTTTGGTTGTTGTTTTAATGTAAAAAATTAAATAAACATAATATTAGATATCGGCAAAAAAAAAAAATAAAC